TCTCTCTCTCTCTCTCTCTCTCTCTCTCTCTCTCTCTCTCTCTCTCACATGTAATTTTCTATTAAAATATTATATATATATATATATATATATTGTAATGTATAAATACGTATAAACAAATACACACACGCGCTTGTAATATGACTATATAATATAATCCGTCACGATATGAAAATCTGACTGAGTTAATTTTCATGAAGTTCACTTTCATAAAAAATATTTAAAGCTTATATACTTATAAAAACGTGAATTATTTTGTTTTACATTACCGAGTTTTTCTATCTACTTATATCGTGACACGTCATTGAAAGATTGCATTATTAAAACAAATGCGAAAATTATACAAAAATATCGAAACACGATGAGCAATTGTTGCGATCTGTTAAACAAAACGTACTCTTTAACAAGAGTACGGTTTCAAACTCCAGCGATTCGAGTAAGAAGTTTCTTAACTTTCAAACAATGCACTGAAACGTAACAATGTCGCTGGGAATACGTTTTTTCTTTCTTCTTCTTTATATTTTCATCTACGTCTCGCCGTCTTACTTGTGAATGACCGCGAGATGTGATATGAAATTTTATGTATCGACACCAAGCTATGCCTGTCAACTCTGGCATGGGTCCCGTCTATAAAATATTCAGATAAGATCTGTCAGTACTCTCGTTTCACCTTCGGAAGCTCAGTGTGTGAACGCGCGCGGAGAAAATAAAAGTACACTGTATAGAAATTGGAAATTGACGATGCCAATATCAATGCACACCGACGCTTTCGATCGGAAATTTAATTTAACATTTTTGAAGTCTGGATATAATTAACAAAAATTTTTAATGCAAAGTTATGTCAAAAGTGCGGTAAAAGCAGTCTCATAATTTTCGCGTAATTGGTAAAAATTATAATGTAATAACAAACGCACAGACAATTTGTGTAGTAATATTCAAAATGCATACCGCAAAAATAATACTAGGAAAATATAAAGTACGCGTTACATCGCAATATTTTGCGGAAATGCGTGATCCAGGTCAGTGTGTATGAGATATGACTTGGAGAGTTTTGACTCGCCGGATAGATCTGTAATTGAGACTGGTATCCCAACGGAGTTGTTTCATAATTCAAACGTATGTGCGGCTTTTCCCGATAAAGCAAAAATTTCAAATAAATCAATGTCGAGAGATTACAGCTCGTATTAAACACACATGCATCGAAAGAGATTAAGTCGTTAATTTTTGACCACACATGATAGGTGTCTTATCTCTTCATTCATTTAGATTAACGTTATGTTAAATCACAAACACGCTAAATATCGGGCAAAACAAACTGTGATTTTTATCAAGAGAATATATAAATGAAAAATGCATATAATAACTTCATTTCATTTATATAAAGTGTAGTTGGAAAACGTAATAGAGATTTTCTATAACACGTACACGGGTATAGATCGATTTTGTAAATATTTTATCGTGAAGATAGAATTAGGTTAAAAATTAAAAGCATATAAAAGATCCATCATCCTAATAGCGAGAACAATGTGCTCTTCTTGCATCGGATACTTAGCTTTCTGTCGCAACGAGACAGAATGTTCTTGCAATCTGCAACGTGACATTGGACTGAGCGAAGACTAACATCATCAAGTGTGCTGTACACGTACAATTTTCGTGGAAAATATACCGCGCGTACTCTGTCTGTCAAGAGTTAATTTTTAAAGAAAGCTTCATCAAAAAAAATATAGGTATAGATAGAAAATATATACTTAGATATAAATAGCAGAAAATATATATATGTAGGAAGATAATAGGAAACAAATTTTGAAATAAAACAACATTGATATGTAGGATAGATTTCCTTCTTAATTGTGATGTTATTTTATTGATCGGTGTTATACTATTCTACGTATATAATTAACGGATTGTGAGGATCGGAATTACGGGAGAGAAAAACACTCTTGTTGAGAATATGTGTTTATTCGGCGGCAGGTGATAAGCGACTGTCGCTTGTACAAATCGACTTCACCTCGTCACCTCGGCAAACAATAATAATAAATACATGCTACACAGTTCGAAATAACGGCTCGCAGCCTCGTCAGAAAATACAATGAGAGAGAGAGAGAGATATATATATAGTATACATATATATTCTATACTCCTACAGATATAAACGCTGAATATATTTTATCGCGAGAATAAATACAATTTTAAACAGCAAATAATATAAGTGCAAAAATCATAGATAGTACATTCTTTGAATCTTGATTGCTGTTTTTATTTTGTTAATTTTCTCTGTTTTGGATTTTGTGAAAATTGAACGACCTATTGACTTCTCTTTCTGATCTTTTCTTAGAAATTGCTGGTCATGTAAACCACACTTACTCGCAAGCCACAACATGACACCAGGTAGCAAAACGATATCAAGCGTCCGGCACACGTACGATTCTCCCGCGAGAGATAGCTTACCGTGTGCGCATGAGTATGTGTATATGAGACTACACAGAATCCTATCTCTTAGAACACATTGACGTTAAACTGCAAATAGTTTGTTCGGACTTCAAGAAAAAAGAAGACGAGAATGCGCGCGGAAGAAGAAGCGTGCATTTAAGAACCGAATGAAATTAATCAAAAGTTCTGATTTACGGTGGAGAAAAGATGCGATGCACCACTTTAGCCGTGAAAGTTCCATATCTCTCTCTCTCTCTTTCTCTCTCTCTCTCTCTCTCTCTCTCTTTCTCTCTCTCTTTCTCTCTCTCTTTCTCTCTCTCTCTGCCCGGTTTTTTTATCTCTAGAAAATTGTCGCTTTTTCCGCTCCTGCTTTTGTTTCGAATATAAAAGAACGATCCCCGGGCATTCTGAATTGTGCGAGTCAGCAATCTAATTGCCCGGTAGATATCCCTTGTAGAAATCGCGCAATTTAAAAACGGCGCCGAACTTTGGTCTTTTTATACATGTGAATGGCGATAATTCCCAGCGTTTTAACAAAATCGTTCCGGCGCTATGTGTTATCTCGCTTTATTGATGTCGTTATTTCTCTTGAACTTGCGTGTGCTCGAGATATTGTATATAATCCCATGTATATACAACGAATTCGCTATTGCACTGATATATATAGATATATATACACATATGTAACTGCCATTCGGTTTTATTTTATAACGTTGCACAGCGATGCAGAAGCCAACGAAGCAGAATTGGTTTGAGCGAGAACGAAAAAAGAAAAAGATTAAGATTAACTTCGATCCGATGCATTGTAGTGTTATGCATTGTTAATCACAAGCTAGTAACGGTATTCAATAAGTATAAACTAAATTGTTCTACCATGGCAACGTTTTTAAACGGAATATGAGAGACACGCACGGCTAGTTAATCAATACGTGTATAACGGAATTTCTATGGAATATGTAATATTTGCACGCTCTAAGGACGCGCGGTGATCGTTAATTTTGTTTCATCTAATTTCCGCGAGAGAAGCAAACTTCAAATAGCAAAATTTGCTTTACATGTTTTGGTGATTATTAATAGATCTTTCAGAATACAGTAGCAAAGAAAGAAATTGATGTAATGATATCAACTGAGATATCTCACGCTGCGCAATGGAAGATCAAGTTATCGCTGAAAAAAAATATAAATAATTGAAATTGTGCAAATTATATGAAAAGATTTCTTTTTTCCTTTTAGCGGAAACTGTATAGTAATTAAATACAAAACAGAATTCTCAGAACAAGTAGACTTATAAATAACAACGATTTTTCTTTGTGGTTTCAGGCTTATTCGAGACGGACGGATTGTTGGTGTCCGGCACAATGTGCGACTACAAGTTTGTCAGCTCGCAATTGGCGCCTCAGTACGGACATTTCTACTCATTGCGTTATCCCTCTTCGTATCCGAAGAACATCCGGTGCTCCTACCTCTTCCGGGCAAGGTAACTAGTCTAATCTCGTGAGAGAGCCTGCGCTCGCTTACTGTTCCGGCGGCCTAATCTATATATAATGCATCTCTGCGGTTAATCTCCGTCGTCACGTATATCTAACCTCTTAGTGCATTTAATGACGACAATCCGTAAACCTGCTCATAGTTAACACTTAATCTAATATATCAAAGAACGTTTTCGATCATCTCAACTAGAACATGTTATATATATATACACAATTATGACTTAAGGCTCGTTGAAATTAAAACCAAGAAATATATAAGGCCTTACGAGCCGTTCCCAGGATGTTGAGCGGAAACTGTACGTGTATATATAATATATACACATGTGACGAGTTCAACTTGTAAATCTTTACAAGTGAGTAATTTTTTTTCGCAATATTTTAAAATTAGTTAGGGGGATATCCGGGGTCTCTCATATGTGAAATGCAAATCCAGCATTCTATGTGAATTTAAGAATTCAATTCAAATAATACTCACTTGTAAAAATATATATATATATATATATATATATACACATGTGACGAGTTCAACTTGTAAATTTTTACAAGTGAGTATTTTTTGAATTGAAATCTCAATTATATATATATATATATATAACATTCTGGGAACGGCTCGTAAGGCCTTATATATTTCTTGATGTTATATATTTATGTATATATTTGTCAAAAAAAGATGTTTTATTTCGCGTATGTTGTTAGAACTTCGGATACTATGTTTTGGATATTAAGTTCACGTTGAATTTTGGTTCCAACACCGGCGCCATGGTACCTCCCGTCATCAGAAATTTTCCGGCTTCCTTGTCCGGCTCAACTTTCGTAGTCTCTCATCTCGAGCTCCTTGTTACCGGCGGCCAAAAGTTTATGTTCGTCCTGTCGCAAGCCGTTTCGCAACACATAGCAACATAAAAGCTGCACATTTCTCGTTTCGAATAGAGAGGGAAAAAGCGGCAAGTTCTTAGTATGATTGCTCGCAGGAAGCGCTATTATTTTCCTTTAGTCGATTGCGAAACAACACACGCTAGGTTATAATATATGCAGGCTAGATGTGTGTGCGATTTGTGTGTGAAAATTCCACTCTTGAGTGTTAGTCGACAAAATGTTAACAAAAGATAAAAATAATATTAATTGCGAGAAACACACCAGAAAATATATATTTCTTTTTCTTCTTTTTTTTTTTATATTTTTGGTTTCTCCGGTTTAATTATATCTGCGCGTAATTGTGTGTGCGCATATTATACATGTATCTAGTGTATCTGTAGTTGTTGTACGTTCATATTACATAAGTTACATAGTTCATCGGTTTCGATGAACGTCTGATCCATGCACAGTTGATCAAAGGAAATAGTTAACGGAGCCAGAACATCGCTCAATCGTGATGAATTTAATCGCGGCACCCAGTATGCGTGAATGTGATTTCCGTAGTATTGCAGATCACTGCTTAATTGCAGTAATTGTATCAAAGTAGCGCAATCCTATATGTCTCACAGTTATGTCAACGTAACGTTGCCCGGCCATTATAAAGTTGCCGGATTCTGTATAGAGTGTTTAAAAAATTTTGACACAACTAAAGTATGAAAATTGGGTTAATCTAAACAGAAAAGCCATTAATCATTTTGTAAACTTTGTAATATTTATTGAGGACGTTTTATTAATTAATTAATTTACCGTTAAGTTATTTATTAATTTATTGATTACTTTATTTAATTAATTGATGTGAGTCATTGAGCGAGCAAGAAGTGATGATTCGGATTATGTAAGTGTATATAAATTTTAGTTGCAAAGAAAAATAGCTTATATATATATATATATATATATATATATGTTGCAAAAAAGGCGTTATTGAACTTACTTGCGGAGTGTTGTGCAAAATAACTTATACTCATGAGAATTTCAGACGTTTCGACTATATATTTTCAGTCATCTTTAGTGTAATCTATGTAATATACAATTAATAGTGAAAGTGAACATAATTGGCAAAATTAAAATTTGTTATATAAGAAAAAGATAACAATATATAATAATTGAAGAAACAGTTATGTGTGAAGACATATCTTAAATCCGACCACCACTTGTGTTCGAATTGATGACGTGAATTGTCGAGATATTAAACGTAAGAAGTTGTCATGTGTGTCAAGACCGAGGCCAAGCGAAAGAGTCAACACACAAGAACGTTATATTTAAAAGATTGAAAGCATGTTTACATGTGCGGTTGTGATGGAAACGTTAGTTATTGATTTTGTCTAAAAGCGATAGATACAAATCATTCAATAATTCAGTGCCTCTCATCTTGTTTAAACTATGTTTTTGCAATTTCATTTGAAACATTTCTGATGTGAGTCTTTTGGTGTAATTAGATTCAATATCTAAGACGCATGTGGAGTCTCAATCAATTTTATAGTCAGTGTCTATACAATGTTCAGCCAAAACTAAATTTTGATTAAAAGACTTAAGATACAATAATTTTTTTTTTGTGTTCTTCACTTATTCTAGTAGCGAGTTGTTGTTTCGTCTGGCCTATATAAACTCATACAAGTAAGATATATCCCAGCAAACAATTTGGTTGTCAGATGTCGCGATTTTGTCGCCAACCGCCACATCAAATCCATATCCATCTGTGTCCTCAGTAGGATATGGTTTTGGTGAGTTTTGGTGACCATGTTGCGTTTTTTGTGTTTATGTGTTAACAGCTTTGGCAGCACACAAAGCATGTTTCCGTATTGTAGCGTTTCTGCACACAGTTTCTGTTGCCAGGTCTGCGCAGTCAGAAATTGTTTGCTGGGACGATAAATGACATTTTTTTGGTTGATGAATAGCTAAAGGGTCCTTGTGGGTTTTGATAAATTTAGTTAACTGGTTGAGGTTTCTATAAGACATTCTGGTATCAGGAATCTTGATGTTAATTGAGATTTTATTTAATTTTTTATAAAAATAAAAAAAATAGCTTACCTCATGCAATGTCCTAGCTACGAGAGACGGAGCAAACAAGCGAGTGGCGTGTGACACAGCTTCTTGCGATCAGCTGATTTTTATGTCGGTTTTCAATTGTGACAATCTTGCTGATCGCAAGAAAACTGTGTCACATTCCGCTCGCTTGTTTGCTCCGTCTTTCGTTTATGGGACATTGCACGAGATAAGCCGATTTTCTTTAACTCTTTTAACTTTTTCTCAACTGAAAATGATACATGCCTACAGAATCTGAACCATCGCTTTTTGCGCGCTTATTGGCTTACATTAATTAATTAATAACTATCTTAAATATTATGAATTTTGCAAAATAATAAATAACTTTTCTGTTCAGAATGATCCAATCTATTTTCACATTTTGGACAAAAATTTTTCAGACACGTGTGTGTGCGCGCATATATATACACGTATATATATATATATATATATACACACATACGCGTGTGCAAAGTTCCCTCCCCTATCCATTAGACATTCATGACTCTCTATATACTACACACACCGTGTACTTGATAGCGCTCACCTTTGTCGCGCAGTAATTGCTACGGTGATTCTCTCTCGACGGTCATTGCAAGAAACTTAACAAAAAAGAGAGAGAGAGAGAGAGAGAGAGAGAGAGAGAGAGAAAGCAAACCAACAAAAAACATTGCAAAGAAAGCGAGTAAATATATATTTTTCATTGTGTTTGTCCGTACACAAACTTTTTTACTGCAAGCTTTAAAGAGAACACTCTCTGTCGTTTAGCGATAAATCTTTTTTTTTTTTTTTCAAAGAGATTTGGTCCATGCCCACATAACCGTTGTTCGCAGCCGCTGCCGCGGTTGTTTTAACAAATTCATACGCTGGGTGCGCTTATAACGAAATTAATTACAGCTTCCGCCCATCTTTCATTAGTACCGCAGAGTACAAGATAAACCACGAGAGCCGCAACGCGCGGTACAGACGAAAAATGCATGTAATAATATTTCCGCATTCATAAAAACGCGGACTTTACCACCGCGAGTTGTTGGCGTTCAAACTTAAAGCTTTCGCGCAGTAAGTGGTATTATGATGTGTAGTAACGTACTCATTTTAAAAATTCGCTAGCCGCGAAGTTAATTCGGTGTGTTAATTTTGTTTCAGATTGAAAGAGAGAATTCGTCTGGTCTTCGAGGAGATTTCTCTGCAAAAAGGGGATTTGAGGTAAGTATCAGATTTGTCTTTTTTTTTTTGTTTTTTTGCTTTTCAGTTTGGTATTAGTTTTTGCCTTCGGTTTCGAGGGCATCAAATACATAAGCAAAAAACACATTACGTCGAACACGAGAATAAAATGACGCGGAATAAATCAACAGAAAACTAACGAATTACATCCTCGAGAGACGACGCATTTTCCAAATGTACATTTTTTTTCAAACTTTATTCTGTCATACATAAATGGTTTACAAATTTCTTCTCTTGGTACATCTCAAAGTTGATATATTTGCGAAGGTAACGTTTGGTGCATCCATGAGAAAAAGTTTGCCGTACGTTCCTCGCATATTCTGGATAGAAATTGAGTTCTGCAAGTTGCGAAAGAGAAAAAGTGGTGTAAAGGAAGGGGAGTCGGAGAAGATTTAACAGGAGGGATCAAAGTCGCGAATTCACGAAGTATGACCAGAGTTGCCTCGTCTATGTAAAAGATGTGCCATTAAGCCGCGTTGGTACGGCTGGTACGATGCCATTGGCGCGACCTGACGGTTTAAAACTTTCAAAGTGTCGTCCGCACTTTCCGTGTCGGAAAACAACACGCGTAACCGAAACCACGAAAGAGACGAACGATAAATGTGCGCCAGATGTGTCTGTACATATATATATATATACGTTCAAATAACTTTCTGTTCGCGTGACAATTAGTTTGGGAAGTGCCATTTTCTAAGTCCCCAATTACTTTTTAAAGCGTTGTTTAATACGTCCTGTATCGACAACGCATATATGACGTTGACATCTTATCTTTTCCGTGTGTCACTACGTGTACGTTCTGCAAAGATAGATTTAATTCTGCAGGCTCCAGCGGCTCCAGTATGTCAATTGAGCGACAGACATCGCAGAAAGACATTGTTTAGGTTAGAAAATTTGCATAATTGTTTCGATTAGTAATTTTTTTTATGAGACATTAAAGTGCTATAGATATTAAAATTGAAGCTAATAATACACACGGCTTAAAAATAACACGACATGGAATGGCAGCGAACATGATAAAGAATTTATGCAAGTCACTACGAAAATGGTACTCGAGAAGAACTTTCGCATACAGAAAGGCATGTAGAAGACCATAACTTTGTTGCGTATTAATTATTTATCTGCACCAACGAGAAAAGCTTCGTGTTGCACTTTTGTTCCGTGCTCTTGACAATTTTATTACAAGATACTTTTTTTCACGGTCCCTTGAAGCTTTCACATGTACCAGCGGAATATATGATAAATTTTAAACATGGAAAATTTTCCTCTTCACGCTAATTGTGAATTACGATACTTGTTGGTTCTTAACGTTTAAGAGTTAACAAGCATCAAAATTGCGAGGATATGGCCGTAAAACTTTTCTATTTAAAATTTTCTTTCCCGATACACTGCAACCTCGTTATATTTGCTGTCAGGCTCGAACGAGTATCACAAGACTGATACAGACAGATTTGAGCACGCATTAGAGATTTTTACGCGTGCGACAGTCTTTCCGCGGTTTTAAATTTCTGCTCTTAAATTATTGACTCTGTAATTGACGTCTATAATTAACGCGCAAATACGCGTCAACGTGTGTTATCTGATCTGCTTTGTTCGATAATCACATGCATGTCCATGTGTAACTCCGCGAAGAATCAAATTCTCCTGAATAATCTAGAACTAATTTTGAGTAAAATCTTCTTGGTAAAATGATAAAAACACGCTATTTAGGAATGTTATTAGCCGGCCAACGACAGGAAATAGATAATCGATGTCGAATGGCTCAAGCAGGTTCGGATAAAATATTCGGAGAAATGCAGGATAAAGAGACTTCGATGACACTCAGCGAGAGAGGCGTAATTCCAAACGAACCATTAAACTAATCAAACGAACTCGTTTAAACGTTCGGTGAAGAGCGGTAAATGGCGATGCGAGGTCGCGATGCAAAGGCGTTGTCCCCGCCGCTACACTGTTGGAAAACATTGATATAAAGTTCTGTCAAAGCTGATTTGCGCAGTTCATGAACAATCGTGGGCAAGAAGCACATTATGAAAACGCTCTAAGGTTCATGTACTATCCGTTGTTCTTTTTTCTTTTACAACAATTTTTTATTTTCAATTTTTCTTTAAGTTTTTTATTTTATGCATATATTTCTCGAAGATATAGAACTGTAGATCAGTTATATGTTCAAAGAGAAAGGGTACGAAATGACCAGTGCGACACCGACAAGTGAGGGTCGCTTTGCGCGTCGTTACGTGTCACGCGACATCAATTTTCTAAAAACGCACTGAAAAGTACTTACAGATTTCCAGACACGTTTTCAACAAATACAAAACGGGAATATCATCTTTAAATAAATTATTTCTGAAACACAACGCGCATTTCGGAGTGATCTGCATTAATTATAAAATTTCAATAAAACGATAATACTCGGAGAACACAAGAGATAGTAGGCTTGTTTGTATAAATGTTTTGCGCGCTGTTGACCGACAAGCTAGCGAGCGATCGATCGACGGACGGACGGACGAAGTTCGTTGTAACTTGAACGTTACTGTACAGTGCGGAGCACCATATCGTGCGCCGTGAGGAGAAGTAGTTCTCCTCCGGCCGCNTCCTACTATCACGCGCCAGCGGCCCGAGATTTAATCTATATATCGACACGGTTATCGATGATACATACCGACGCGGTTACCAATAATACCGACAAGCATATGTTATCATAAAACTATCGTGAACATTGAAAAGAGTAACTCTGCATTGAAA